TGCAGTATTGACGAAAGGCCCACATCCAGGTAAGGAAATCTAGACTTCGTTACTTCGGATTGCAGGCTATCCTCAATGTTCAACTTATCCCCTTGTATATAAGTCTTTCATCTGGAAAATTTCATTTCCAAGTTTCATTGAAGTACAAACTTATGCTTCACAAAATGCAAAAAAAAAAGCACAGAAAATTACACATAAAATAACCCAACAAAAACGAATCTTGTGGTCAACACCAAAATTTCTCCTTACTGCCTTACTCTGTGGTATTTTTATGTTCAGTTATTTACCTTTAAGGAATTAACAACAAATAATTGGAGGAGGAACTAGGATATTTATCACAGATTTAAAACTAAAAATTTGATTTGACTGATTCGAAGAAAAGAGACTGGATACAATAGTAAACAAAGTTTACTCAACATCTATTTATAAATCACAAATCAAGAGATGAGTGCGCAGGACATCAGATAGCACTTTTAGATCATAGAAAGATTTTTTGTAGATTATTTAGATTATGTAAACATTATTTTCTCAAATACGAGAGTATGAAATTATATATTATTAAAACAAGTATATCATCCCTCTCAGAGTGCTGGCACTACCCACATTAATTTTTATCCCAAATGAAAGTAGGGAGAGTTTAACTTCCTGGCATTTCTAAATGTATATAGGGTAATGTTATCAGAGAAAGTGCATATAAGATAATCAAATAAATCTCCATCGATATTGTCTCTCAGAATCATCTGAAATTACATAAGTGGAACACAAGCGTTGATTATATAGAACCAGAACATGACACAAAGCTTGTATTCTACAATGCAGGTTTCTTATATGTGAAACTCTGTAACCACTCTAAAAACACATTAATCTGGACAAATATTCGGCAGCGAAGACTACTTACTTTTTAAACTAAGAGAAAAATAAAATATTTCAAGTAATACACTACCACTGGTGTGCCACCCATGACTGCAGTACCTTCCTGGACTACTATAGCTACACCACCACCTCAGCCCATTACAGAAGTAAACAGGTTAGCTCAACAACATCATCTAGTTGAGAAACTGACTATCATGAAAGGTACCAAGGGAGGAATATCAGGCATAAGCAAGGTGAATGGACGAAGTAGTGAACAAAGATCAATTCATCTTACTGCACATTTAAAAGGAATAGTTTTAATAATCTTAAGTAATTCTCTGAAGGACAGTCATAACATATCTAGTGTCACATCAGAAGGAAGTTTCTAAAGTTAAGGAGCAGAGATATGGAAAAGCTTGCCTAATTATCTTATCCTGATCTCCGTGTGAAATGATGGCTTTGTTGGCACATGGCCAATTCATGAACGTTATAATGGTTGAGGATATGCAAGTTAAGCTAAAGAAAACTAGATGTACATCTTTTCAGGTGAGCAATAGAACTAAAATCAACTAACCCTTTCCAGTTCGATGAAAACCTTTCAGGTGTCGAGTATAGACCCGTACGTAAAATTTCAATGAAAATAATAATTCTAACTCTAGTTTAGCCAATTGCTACTGAAATATATTGATATATTGCCATTTTGTGACAGTTATTTAGTGTATTTGTTTAAAAAATTAAAATTGTTCAAACCTAGATTTCTGCACATCATCAAAAAGCCTCCTTGTAAATAATGCACATATAGACTTTTTGTTTTGCTCATATCCCAGGGTAAGGGTGTAAATTTGGTATATCTGGATTTTCGGAAAGTCTTTGACAAGGTGCCACATAAAAGGCTTGTAAAAATTATCTCAATTGGTGAGGGGTTAAGTTAGCTAATTGGATGGAAGATTGGCTGAATGGAATAAATCAGAGGGATGTTATAAATGAAGTTCAGTCAAACTGGATTATTGCCATAAGTATGGTACCTCAGGGCTCAGTCTTAGAATCTTTGCTCTTTTTGATTTACACCAATAACATAGATGAATGAATGGTCAATAAATTACATAAATTTGCTGATAATGGTCTTGGGTGTTGCTAGCTGTGAAGAGAAAGCTGCTTCTTTACAAAAGGATTTAGATAATTTAGTGAGTTTGGCAAATAAATAGCAGATGGGTTTTAATTATAATAAATTCAAGATAATGCATGTGGGTTATCATAATTTGAATAATAAGTATAACTTACGTGGTTTGGTTGTAGTTAAGCACAAAACTACAAAATGGGCTATCTGTGCTCTGTCCACCACGTGTATCGAAACACGGTTTCTAACATTGTAAATATAATTTTTTGTAATAGTTTTAGTTTAACTTAGAGGATGGGACAGTTGAGATGGATCAATAGGTCTCTTGTTGTCCATAAACATTACGTTATGTTAATATATGTTTATATTTGTTGAGAAACTGGGAGATACTCTGTCAGCGATGAATGTATCGAGCAAGTACACGAAAATCACTTCGGCGTGCTTCAGGAGAACTTAACATACCAAAAATATTGCTGCTCCGTGTTATTCACAAATGTTTCATCTGTATGCCTACAAACTTCTGTTGGTACAGGCACTGTGACCAAATGACAGACCAAAGAAAAAGGCATTTGCGGTGAGCCTCTTTGACTGCATAGATGAAGACAACACATTTCTAGTTTGTGTACTGTTTATCGATGAGGCTATCGTTTGTACCTCAGGTAAAGTGAATAGTCATAATGTCTGCGTTTCGGGCTCAGAAAACCACATGATACAACTGAAATCGTGCATGATAGCCCAAAGGTGAATGTGTAGTGCAGTCACAGGTGTAACAGTATTATTGGTCCTTTCTTTTTCGCTGAGAACACTGTCACTGGAATTGTGTAGAATGACATGCTGAAACAATTTGTGATCACACAACTGGAGGAAATGCAACTACAGATAAGCTTTCAATAGGATGGTACTCTACCTAACTGGATGCTTCCTAGATCAAACATTTCCGAGGCGATGGAGTGGTTGGGGTGGGCCAATTTCATGGCCTCCACATTTGCCAGACATCTGTCCACTAGACTTCTTTCTTTAGGGGTATGTTATGGATATTGTGTATCACACACCTATTGCAAACATCACGGAGTTGAAGACTGGGATAACGGACACCATCGTCACTGTAACTGTGGACATGTTGCAGCAAACATGGACTGATACCGAATATCAGTTAGACGTGCTGAGAGCCACTAATGGTGCTCACATAGAATTATATAAAAACAGATTGAGTTTGGCTACAATATGTTTAAAACTGCATGGTTGTGTTTTATTAGTTATTTAATTATTAAATTTTGAAATAGCAAATATAGTTTTGGATCACCCTGTATAGTGGAAAGTTTAGAACATTTAGGATAAAACCACATATCTAGGATTTTTTGAAGTTTCTTTAGACCTTCCTTTCGTTCCTGAAAATGTTTTCATGTTAAAGTATATTTCTGTGAAAGCTGCAGAAATGTTTTTCAACGACAAGACATTGGGTAGTTCATATTAGGTTTAATGAGTACAGTATCTAATGGCAAAATTTCCTGTTTATCTAATTCTTATCTATTTACTATTATTATTAAGTGCGCGGTATTAAAAAAAGCACAAAAGTAAAGTACTTTATAATTTATTGAAAAGAAAGTATATTTATTAGATATAAACTTATTTTGGTCAAGCATATTGTTAACAAAAATACTGTTATCTCAGCTGACCTGACGCCATTTTGAAAGGTCCGGTCCTAGATCAGTAATAAATCTTTGTCAGTTTATGCCGTTTTTTTTTCTTTCTTTTTTAAAGATTAATAGGCAGAAGTGGCGACTATTGCAAATGACAAAATAAAGTATAAAAAAAAATATTATGAGAAATATCAATCAAATTGAAATTAATTTATATATAAAAAGGAATCTTCTTAAAAGAACATCAAAGAATTATTATTATTATTTAATTCCACAACACAATAACTAATAGAAAAACTTAAATCAAATTACATTAATGAATTTTAACCCGAAGCTAGATGGTATATCATACCGCTGTGCCACTTACAACGCTAGAAACCGGGTTTCGATACCCATGGTGGGCAGAGCACAGATAGCCCATTGTGTAGCTTTGTGCTTAACTTCAAACGAACAAATAAACAAGTAAGAAAATAGAGTATCGAAAGAAATGTGTTAAAAATATCAATCAAGTTGAAACCAGTAAGTAGAAATGGAACTATTTGATTAATAATGAGAAAATTACATTTAAGACAAAATGAAGTTTCTTTATTGTTTTTTCAGAACAATGTCTCATAATTTTTTGGGGGAATTTTACAACCTATGAAATGATGTAAAGCTTAAATCAAATTATACGAATTTTTAAGTTTAAAGGAAGTTTATTTTATGTTTCATACAATTTGTTAAATATTTCTCCTGGATAATAAGAAACGTCAAGGGATATAAATGACGCAGTTGAATGTTCTAGTCTGGAAAGGGCAGAGTGGCCAGACGTCTCAGTTTTGACAATTTGTCGTAGTGTCTCGAGAAAACTTCTCGGGACATAAAAAAACTTCCCGGTTTTATAATGGAGACACCAAACTGTCAGTCACATCGAATCATGAATTTAATAAATAGGCCTACTTGACATGCTCAATCTTGTAACAGGCACTATCCTGCCGCCAAACTCTCGAAACTTATGTCTCTGCGTATTTGAGAAACCCAACTCTGTGCAGGTCAGAATGTGGAGGCAAGTCAGGCAATACTCGTCGTCAAAACACTACACGGTCATTTAATGAATTTTATGACTATTTAATGAAAAAAACAACATAATTTCAACGTTACATCTATTTTTCGCGAAAATATGTCTAAAAAGTTTCAGAGTAATGCTAAAACCTAAAAGTAGTATGTTTGAAAATGTTATGGATTCTTAGATAAATCCGGATATGAAGTAACCTATTTTAACTTTTAAGATAAATTGGATAAAGTGAATAATTAAATATTTCTTGAATGTATAATTTCACTGTTTTTGGCAATTTGTTTTGTCCATCACTAAAAAAAAGTGATTGAATTTTTTTTCAAAACAACGCCAATGTTAATCAACTTGGAAATACTGTGGAACAGCCCAACAAAGTTAAAGTTAAATTGTTTCAAATTTGTAATAACCATTTTGAAATTATGGGTAAGGGCTGGACTGTCCCTGGTTTTCGGTTTAGAAATCTGTTCACTCTAATTAAGGAAATGTTGGAAAGAAAGGAAAATGCTTATTTTGGTTGTATTCCAGAAATATACAGAGAATTGGCATGAATCATGTGAACTGTGCTGTGAGCAGAAGCTTTCTTTGGAGGAAGGAACGTGGGGAAACTACAGTTGTACCGTTTTTGAGCTCTACTTGGTGTCCTCACGCGTTTGTCATTAACCGAACAACTCGTTCCGTATTTAAATTTCCTGTTCATAACGAAACCGACCAAGACCACGGTTAACATCGTAGTAAAACTAAGTTAAAAGTGCCCAATTTGCGAATTAATAAATAACAATTGAGTTAGCGAAAATAACATGTGTCGTAACTAGTAAATTAACGAAAGCACTTAAACTTTAAGTATAATAAACAAATCTTGTTTTGTAACTTACGATACTGTTAAGCTTAAAGGCAATAAATAAAGATGGATCCAGGTAAGTTAGAGTTAGGCTGTGAGTGTGAATGTGAACATAGACAAAACTTTAATGCGTAGATTTACAGAACATTTAGGGATTGACTCATTCATTGACCGATTCAAATTGTACGATTCATTACGTGAGACATTAGTAAAGTTTGACTTGTAAGTTTAATCAGCTTTACTTAAGTAATTTCTGCTTTTGTTTTTAAACTTTAGCATTATTACCACTACTAGTACTGGTAGTAATATACTATACAAAGTACTGCTACTAGCACTGTAACAGTATGTCACAATACTATTACTAAGCCAAATTGTATTTATTTTATAAATCTCAATATTTTAAATTTATTAGTATTACTATTAATACGAACAAAGTATGAGCTGTTTTATGTTACAACACATATTCAAAAACTTTTCAAATTCCACAAAAAGAGTGTGGATTTTTGTGTACTGAGGTTAAACTTAAAGGCAACAATAAAAGAATGCCTAAGATTAAGAAAATCACATCTATGGGAGTTAGGAAAAACTGATTAATTAGATTGTAAAATAGTTGGATGGGACATGGGGGGGATGGGGAGCGTTATTAAGGGAGACCAGTGAAACTGAACTTTTTTGACTATTACTACTACTAGTATATTAGTGGAATGCTCCAAGTGTCAGCGTTTAGACCTTTGGTTTTCTTACTTACATTAAATGATTAATGAAATTATTGATAGGAACATAATTTTTAAATTAGTAAAGTTTGATGATTACTTCAAACAACTGAGTATGTGTACAATCTCTTGTTGTTGTTTTTTGTACAATTTCTCACTTACTGTTGCCAGTGTTGAATCATTCTAGAGACCAGATGTGTACACACTGTCCAAAGTGAGCCTGAACTAGTGATTTGTTTAAAGAGGTTTGAATTAACGTTATATGTATGAACTGATTTATGGTAACGTAAATGCATTGCATTACTGTTTTTAAAGGTTATTTGGCAACTTACCAATTAATCTAAGTCACACAACTAGAAATACCAAGGAGTTAATGTCATCAGCAAACATTTATTAATTTGCATATTATGCCACTAACAATAACATTAATATAAATGAGAAAATGTGAAGGCCTAAGCACTGACTCCTGAGCTACTCCTATATTCTATTCAACTCTGTTACAATCTTCAACTGACTAGTCTTTTTCTTTTTTTTTTGTAATTTTCATATATATATATAATTTAAAGACAACAAGGGACCTGTTGGTCCATCTATGCCACGGGTCGGCAGTCTGAGGCTCACGAGTTTCATGCGGTTTTGTAAGGAGATTTGTGTGGCTCTTGGGCTTTACTGTTACAGTGAAAAAAAAATTGAGAATCTTTCAGACACAGTGGGTGTTAAAAACATAATCTAAACATTTGCAGTTTTTTTACTTAGAACAGAGTCTTGCTGTTAACATTCTAGCTAATTCCTAAAATGCCTTAGAAGGCTTAGCTAGACAAAAAAAATCCACTGAGGGGACTTGAACCCCTGATTTTAGTGTTGTAAATCTGAAGACTTACTGCTGTCCCACTGAGGGACCTATTGTTTTGGTTGTTGTCGTAGGTTAGACCGTTAGGGCATATTGTGGCTCTCAAAATATTTTGGTCTTAGACAAAAAAAAAAAATAGGCTCATTTTCTTTTGAAGTGCTACCAACCCTGATCTAGGGTGTTCCAGCTATTATGCTAAACTCAAGAATAAAACACTTAAGTCTAGCCCTCATCATTCCATAGGTGTTGAAGCAAAACAAAAGTGTTTATTGGAGGAGGAGGGGGGATCAAAGCTTTCAGGGAGTTTCAGAAGCTTACTTCATTGGATAATATTTGCAATTAGAGTGGTAGTTTGAGCCCATTTTAAAGCAGAGCATTACAATGAGCATTGGGGATAAAACTAAAAAGATTAATGGGAACATACAGTGTTAGTAGTTTAATGACCTATAGAACCTTAGTCACAGATTTATTTTAGAATCATTATCTGTTTATAGTGAGTAGAGCTGGATGAATAACTTAACTAGTATAATTGATTACCTATGAGCATGGATTACATTGATTAGTGTCAATTGGTGTCCTACCTGATATTCAAAATCAATTATTTGGTGGTGAAGAATTGTAATCTTTTATTCATTGTAATGTTATACTACATTAAGTATTAAGTTTAATACTGTGGTTCAGGAAGGTACCAGATATTTGCTACTTGTTAGTTAATATGTGTTTTTCTTTTTTAAATCTATGTTCTCTTAATTTCATGTGGGTGCAGATAGTTGCTAAAGAAACAGCTTCACTTTTCCATACTTTATTTGCATATGGGAAATTGTGTAATGGTCTAGGGCTTCCCCTCCTTTATGATCAAGAGAGAGAGATAGTGGACTAAAGTTTCATGGGTGGGGTATGTGCTGTAAGCAGCATGATTTTGTTAATGTTATCAAAATTTGTATTTATAGGATAGCCTCTCCCTTGTTAGGCAGAGTCATTTAGAATTTGAGAGACGTATCATTGAGATTGTGTGGACTTGAGATTTTAGAGATTTAGACTTTGTGAGGGATAGAGAATCCTGTAAGATTTCACTGCAGTTTAACTTGGGGGATATTTGTTTTTAACTTTTAACCTTTTTGTTTGTTGTTTTGCTTATGAGGGGAGGACATTGAATTGGTGAAAGGGAGAGAGAACCAATAAAGGTTTATTTTCATACCATCTGTCTTACCAGTTACACTCTTGCACAACAGACACTCACTTTTTTGTTTGTGTTTTAAATGAATGTTGTTGTTTTGTACATTTTGTATACAGTCTTTCTTTGCATCAAACTCAGTCAGAATTTAAGGAGAAATAAACCCATACTTTGCAACTTTGTTATAATATTACTCACACTTAAGTGTACTTTGCCCATTTACTCTGATGGAAATTCATGTAATTGAAAATACCACAATATTTTAATATTGTCATTTCTCTTGTAATGCCTTATCATTTCTCCAATATAAAATAATGTTTTGGGACAACATGGGACCTATTGGTCTATTTTGGCTGTCCCATTCTTTAAACTAGACTAAATAAATTAAAAAAACAAATTTAAAGCTAACCCTGATCATTCATATACTTATCAAGCTTTTTCTTAAACTCACTTAAACTTACTGCCTCCACAACAATCGAAGGCAACCCATTTGAAAAGCCAACCACCCTGTTAGAAAAATATCTTAGCTGAAGATAACTCCTACCCTGCCAAAATTTATATCAATTTCCTTTACAGTCTTAAACACCTCAATCAGATCTCCTCTAACAATTTGAGAGATTTCAACCTCTTCTCATATGACAACTCCTTCCTTTCCTTTTCCAACAATTCAATGTCCTATCTAAGGTAAGGAATCCAAAACTGAACACAATACTCCAAATGTGGCCTAACCAGTGACCTATACAATAAAATTATAACCTTTTTAGACTTGTATTCAGTACTTCTGTTGATACAACCTAAAATCCTATTTGCTCTATTACTAGCAACAGTACACTGCTTGAATGGCATAGGAGACTAATCAACCACTAAACCAAGATCCTTTTCTTTCATAACACTGTTAAGGTTATTCCCATCCAAATTATGATAACCCACATGCATTATCTTGCATTTATTATAATTAAAACCCATTTACCATTTATTTGCCCAACTCACTATATGATCTAAGTCCTTTTGTAAATCAGCAGCATCCTCTTCACAGCTAGCAACACCAAAGATCTTAATATTGCCTGCAAATTTGTGTAACTTATTAACCATTCCTTCATTTATGTCATTGATGTAAGTAAAAAAAAGCAAATGTCCCTAGATTGAACCCTGAGGTACCCCAATTGTAACATTAATCCAGTTTGACTGAACTCCATTTGTAACAAGCCTTTGCTTTTGTCCATTCAGCCACTCTCTATCCAATTTGCTAACTTATCCTCCATACCTATAGTGATAATTTTTTACAAACCTTTTATGTGGAACCTTGTCATATGCTTTCTTAAGATTCAGATACACCAAATCTACACATTTACCCTCATCTACATAAGCAGTAACCTTTTCAAAGAATGTCAAGGCCAGATTTTTCCTTAGTGAAACTATGTTAACTATCCAATAAAATTCTAAACTTTGTTAAATGACTTTGCAAAGCATTTTGCATCAGATTTTCAAAACATTTCCCACAACTGATGTAAGACTAATGGGCCTGTAATTACTGGGATAATTTTTATAATCTCACTTGAAAAGAGGAGTGACATTAGCCAAATTCCAATCCTCACATACCTTCCCATTATTCAAGGACTTACAAAAAATGATAGCAAGTGGTTCACATATCCAATTCTTAACTTCCTTCAAAACCCTTAGTGAAATATCTGTTCCAGGAGCCTTATTGTTCTTTAAACTTCCCAAATTTTTGCCTAACAAGCTCAGAATTAATGCAATCATCTTTTTTTTGATCTTGTTTCTATCTTTCAACTGTTCAAGATGTGGAATACTACTTAAATCTTCATCACTAAAATCTGCAGAAAAAGCAAAATTTAATAATCCAGCAATCTCGTAACCATCAGATATGAGACTTCCTCAAGGGTTCTCCCCCTATCCTAATATGTTGTTTACTCTTAATGTATTTAAAGAAATCCTTACTGTTAATTTTTATATTTTCAGCCAACCTTTTCTCATACATCCTTTATGATGCCCTAATGTCCTGTTTGATCAAATTTCTTGACCTTCTATAATCTTCTAAATCTTCCATCATTTCAGTCAATTTATATTTTTAAAATTTATGATGTTTTTCTTTAATTTTATCTCTTATACCCTTTTTGAGCCAACCTAGTTTTTTACTTGTAGCCACCCTTTTCTTTCTACAAAGAATATGTTTATCTTGAATATTTAAAAATTTTCCACATTTGTTCAGTGTCTCCAAATAACTCACATGTCCAATTCACAACAGATAATTCTTGTCACACCCCTTAAAAATTTGCTTTTTTGAAATTTGTTATCAAAATATCATTATTCCTTATCTC